TAGCCTCCTGAGTAGCTGGGATTACAGGCACGCGCCACCATGCCCAGCTGATTTTTTGTATTTTTAGTAGAGACGGGGTTTCACCATGTTGACCAGGATGGTCTCGATCTCTTGACCTGGTGATCCACCCGCCTCAGCCTCCCAAAGTGCTGGGATTACAGGCGTGAGCCACCGCGCCCGGCAATATATATATTTCATTTATTTTATTATGTAATAGAGATACAGTCTCACCATGTTACCCAAGCTGGTCTCGACCTCTTCAGCTTAAGCATTCCTCCTGTCTTGGCATTCCAAAATGCTGAGATTATGGGTGTCTCTAAAGTAAGTCCTTCCATGTATTTGAAGTTTTGAGTCCCATCTAAAGACTCTTTACTTTGAAAGAGTCTTACCATATTGCTTATATCCCATTGTTTCTAGCCAATGTGAGTCCTTACATGCTTTTGAAGGATTGAGGCAGATCTAAAGGCTTTACCGCATTGCTTGCACTCATAGGGTTTCTCTCCAGTGTGAATCCTTTCATGATAGAGAAAAGAGTTGGAAGAAATGAAAGCTTTTCCACACTGTTTACATTTGTAGGGTTTCTCTCCAGTGTGAGTCCTTTTATGATAGCGAATGGAATTGGAAGAAATGAAGGCTTTTCCACATTGCTTACACTCGTAGGGTTTCTCTCCAGTGTGAGTCCTTTCATGCATTTTAAGTTGTGAGGCAACTGTGAAGACTTTACCACATTGCTTACATCCATAGGGTTTCTCTCCTGTGTGAGTTCTTATGTGCTTTTGAAGGATTGAGGCAGATCTGAAAGCTTTCCCACAGTGCTTACACTCATAGGGTTTCTCTCCAGTGTGAGTCCTTTGATGATAGTGAAAAGAATTAGAAGAAGTGAAGGTTTTCTTACATTGTTTACATTCATAGGGTTTCTCTCCAGTGTGTGTCCTTTCATGTACTCGAAGATCCTTGACATAACTGAAGGCTTTCTTACATTTCTTACATTCATAAGGTTTCTCTCCAGTGTGAGTCTTTTCATGATAGCGAAAGGAAGTGGAAGAAATAAAGGCCTTACCACATAGCTTACACTCATAGGGTTTCTCTCCAGTGTGTTTTCTTTCATGCACTCGCAGGTACTTGACAGATCTGAAGGCTTTCCCACATTGCTTACACTCATAGGGTTTCTCTCCACTGTGAGTCCTTTCATGATATTGAAAGGAACTGGGACAATTGAAGGCTTTACCACATTGCTTGCATTTATAGCGTTTCTCTCCAGTGTGAGTTTTCTCGTGTCTTTTTAATGAACTCAGAGAAAAAAAGGCTTTCCCACATATGCGACATTTATGAGGCCTCTCTCCAGTGTGCATTCTCATGTGTGTTTGAAAGCTTACTAGATAAGATAATGCTTTCCCACATTGCTTACATTCAAAGGGTTTTTTTGCAGAGTGGATTTTTTCATGTCTACGAACAGAACTGGGAAACCTGAATGTTTTTCCACATTCCCTACATTCATAAGGCTTTTGCCCAGTGTGAGCTCTTCCATGTATTGCAAGGCTACTAGAATAATTGAAGGCTCTGAGGTGCCTATTAAGGGAAGAAAGACCCATGCCGATTTCTCCACACACACCATTTTCATATGATTTTACTCCAGGAGGAGCTTTCTTCCTCCACATGTCATCTGGAACCTGGGTCAAGACTTCTACATGTTGATGACTTTCTTTACTTTGAAAGAGTCTCTCTCCTATAAGTCTCCTGTGAACACTGAAAAGCACATTATAATGGATTTATCACTAATTTTAATTCATTTCTAAGTGTTGCACTTGCATTTTTTTTGGGGACGGAGTTTCGCTCTTGTTACCCAGGCTGGAGTGAAATGGCGCGATCTCGGCTCACTGCAGCCTCCGCCTCCTGGGTTCAGGCAATTCTCCTGCCTCAGCCTCCTGAGTAGCTAGGATTACAGGCACACGCCACCATGCCCAGCTAATTTTTTGTATTTTTATTAGAGACGGGGTTTCACCGTGTTGACCAGGATGGTCTCGATCTCTTGACCTCGTGATCCACCCGCCTCTGCCTCCCAAAGTGCTGGGATTACAGGCTTGAGCCACCGCACCCGGCCTGCATTTTTTTTTTTAAGATGAAATCTCGCTCTGTTGTCCAAGCTGGAGCGCAGTGGCATGGTCTCAGATCACTGCAGCCTCTGCCTCCCAGGTTCAAGCGATTCTCCTGCCCCAGACGCCTGAGTAGCTGGGATTACAGGCACCCACTACCACACCCAGCTAAGTTTTTGTCTTTTTAGTAGAGATGGGCTTTCAACCATGTTGGCCAGGCTGCTCTCGAACTCCTGACTTCATGATCTGCCCACCTCACCCTCCCAAAGCACTGGGATTACAGGCGTGAGCCACCATGCCCAGCCCTGCACTTCTGTTTTTAACAATGCCCAGCAAAGTGTAGGCTTTCTGTCCTGCCTGAACTATGTGAACATGAAGGGACCACATGCTATACAAGAAGGCTCAGCCATCTCTCTTATCAAAAATAGATAATATTGAGGCCGGGCACGCTGTCTCACACCTGTAATCCCAGCACTTTGGGAGGCTGAGGCAGGTGGATCACCTGAGGTAGGAGTTCAAGATCAGCCTGGCCAACATGGCGAATCTCTGTCTCTACTGAAAATACAAAACAGCGCACACCTATAATCCCAGCTACTTGGGAGAGTGAGGAGGGATAATCGTTTGAACCTGGAAGGTGGAGGTTTTACACTTTACATTTTTTTAGGGAAACTTTTCTAAGAATAAATACACTGGAACTAGGTTTATTTCTTGTGTTTGCTTTTTCTTTTCTTCTTGAGACGGAGTCTCACCCTGTCACCCAGGTTGGAGTGCAATGGCGCAATCTCGGCTCACTGTAACCTCGGCCTCCTAGGTTCAAGCAATTTTTCTACCTCAGCCTCCCAAGTAGCTGGTATTATAGGCACGTGCCACCACGCCTGTCTAATTTTTTGTATCTTTAGTAGAGATGGGGTTTCACCATGTTGGCCAGGCTGGTCTCAAACTCCTGACCTTGTGATCTGTCTGCCTCAGCCTCCTAAAGTGCTGGGATTACAGGCGTGAGGCACCGTGCCCGGCCAGTAGTGTTTGCTTCTTTTTAACATTTTCTTCCATTCTAAGATTGTCTAGAGAGACATTATTTTCTCTTGAAAGTACTAGTTACCTTAGATTTCTCCTGGGATTTTGGTGCTTATCTTCAGCATTCTGATTGCTCCATCTTTTTCCTAAAATGCAAACCCAGAAAAATAGTTCTGAATTAGTATAAAATTATTAAAAAGTTACTTGATTCTATGTTCATAGCTCATTGCAACAGTGCCTCATTTATTCAAAGTATTCCCACCGGGCGTGGTGGCTCATGCCTGTAATCCCAGCACTCTGGGAGGCTGAGGCAGGCGGATCATAAGGTCAGGAGTTCAAGACCAGCCTGGCCAAGATGGTGAAACCCCATCTCTACCAAAAATACAAAAATTAGCTGGGTGTAGGGACAGGCGCCTGTAATTCCAGCTTCTCCGGAGGCTGAGACAGGAGAATCACTTGAGCCCAGGAGGCAGAGGTTACAGTGAGCCGAGATTGCGCCACTGCACTCCAGCCTAGGCGACAGAGGGAGACTCTGTCTCAAAAAAAAAAAAAAAGTATTCCCTTTCCATATTCCAAATCACTCCACAGCACTGATGAGCTAGAAACACCTGATCTCTAATTCACTGAGGGAAGTAATTCACCTCTTACCTATGGAGATCAGGTTCCTCAAGGTTTCCTGCATCACTTCCCTGTAGAGATTCTTTTGGGAAGGATCCAGCAAAGCCCACTCCTCCTGGGTGAAGTTCACAGCCACATCCTCAAAGGCCACCGAATCCTGAAATATCCCACATGTGGACAGCAGGATAAGTGAGGCTGACAGCAGTGGGGTCCTATAACCTGTTTGTGGGAAGTTCTCAGGATGCTGTGGACTCCAAACATTTATTCCGTGACTTGGTCATCAGACCCCTTACTCTCTGTTTACACTCACTTTCTTAGATAACATAATTTTCACAACGCTGGGAGGCAGAAGTTGTAGTGAGCCAAGATCATGCCACTGCACTTCAGCCTGGGTGACAGAGCAAGACTCCGTAACAAAAAAATAAATAAAATAAAAATAAATAATTTTCATGCTAGAATTGAATCTGGATGGGGTAAAGCAACAGCAAAATAGGAAAATGTGTGTTTCTGGTGAATCTAGGGAGAAAGGCATGATGCCTGGACTGCGCTTAATGTCTGAAATGTGGATCTGCAGCATCTGTCAAAACAAACTCCTTTGAATTTATGAGCAAAAAAATGCTAACATTAGCAGCCCTAAGGCTGGATATTCTTGAAAATGCCTGTTCACAAAGTTTAACCTTTATGATGTCTAGAAAGTGGATTTTGTGGCCAGGCGTGTTGACTCACACCTGTAATCCCAGCATTTTGGGAGGCCGAGGTAGGCAGATCATGAGGTCAGGAGTTTGAGACCAACCTGGCCAACAAGGCGAAACCCCTTCTATATTAAAAATACAAAAATTAGCCAGGCATAGTGGTGGGAGCCTGTAATCCTAGCTACTTGGGACGCTGAAGCAGGAGAATCACTTGAACCCAGGAGGCAGAGATTGCAGTGAGCCAAAAACATGACACTGCACTCCAGCCTGGATAACAGAGGGAGACTCCATCTTTAAAACAAAACAAAAAACCAAATTGATAAGACAGTCATAACTAAAACAAAAACTCATCAAGGAAACCTTTCTGGGAAACTGTATTTGGATAGAAAACTCTAAACTGGGCCGGGTTCGGTGGCTCACACCTATAATTCCAGGCCTCTTTGGGAGGCTGAGGCAGGTGGATCACCTAAGGTGAGGAGTTTGAGACCAGCCTGGCCAACACGGTGAAAGCCCATCTCTACTAAAAATAAAAATAAAAATAAACAAAAAATTAGCCGGGCATGGTGGTGGATGCCTGTGATCTCAGGAGACTGAGGCAAGAGAATCACTTGAACTTGGGAAGCAGATGTTGCAGTGA